GTTTGGTAAGGTGGAGGGTCAGAGAAAAAGAAGAAGACCTCCAACGAGATGGATAGGCCAAGTGGAAGCATCGATGGACTCAAGTGTGGCATCAGTAGTGAGGTTGGCCCAGGACCAGGCAGTGTTTCGTTCTGCTGTGCATAAGGTCTCTATGAGTCAGTACCAATTTGATGGCACCTAACAACAGCAACAATACATATGTGGCTGTATAGGATCTGCACTGAACTGTGAACCACAAAGTCGGCAGTTCAAACTCTTGAGCTGCTCCTTGGAAACCCTCTACAGGGTCAGTATGAGTCAGAACTGACTCAACAGCACTTAATAACAACAAAATCAAATCAAACCCCAGCCACAGGGTTTCCTAAGTTGTAAATCTTTATGGGAGCAGACAGGCTTATCTTTTCCCCATGGAGCAGCTGACAGATTTGAACTGCTGATCTTTCAGTTAGCAATCCAGTTCTTATCTTATAGTGCCACCAGGGTCTTAGAACATATAAAAATAAACACTTCCAAAGCTGATTATTGATGCTGTGGAAAATATTTAGGTTGGTTGACCCAAATTCCATTTACAATTTATCTTCTTCATTGCTACCATTTCTATGAAGTGACAAAAGACTAAAATTATTTTCCCAGGCTTTCTTGCACTCAGTGGGGTCCATGTGACATAATTATGGACAATGATATACACACAAGAATCTCCTGATATTGCTTTACTCCATCTTTATTAGCATGGATATACCATATTTTTACATATACTGTACCATGAGGAAATATCATGCAAGTGCATGTAATGAGCATAGCACCCATAAGAAACTAACTTTCAAGAAGTTATGCAATTTTCAAAAAACAAAACAAAAACATCTCCATTATTTGTGTGGAGGTTCAGCAGCCATATGGTAATATATATATAAACATATATAAAGATAAAAGTCAAATACTAAGAATCTGTATGCTTTTGTATACATAAAAATGGGGGAGGGGAGGGCAGGATAGAGGCAAATACTATCAACTGATTGTGCATGGAGGGGATTGTAATCATTGCATTGAAACAAAATACGATAGTTTGAGTGCAAAACCCATGTTCTTCCATGTAAACTGTCACTCAATTCACAATAAAAGCATTAAAATAAAAACAAAAAGATGACCTCACCATGTGGAATACACATAAATCAAATTGACTGTATCTGTGGAAGGAGATGATGGAAAAGCTCCTTATCATCAGCCAAAATAAGGCCAAGAGAGACTGGAATAGACTATCAATTGCTCATATGGAAGTTCAGTCTGAAGTTGAAGAAAATTAAAACAAGTTCTTGAGAGCCAAAATACGACCTTGAACACATCCCACCTGAATTTAGAGGTCAACTCAAGAAAAGACTTAATGCATTAGACACTAAAGATCAAAGACCACAAGAGTTGTGGGATGACAACAATAAAATCATACAAGAAGAAAGCAAAATTCATTAAAAAGACAAGAAAGAAGGATAAAAAAACAAAATGGATGTCAGAAGAGTCTCTGAAATGTGCTCTCCAGCATAGAGATGCTAAAGATAATGGAAGAAGTGAGGAGGCATAAGAGCTAAACAGAATTTTTCCAGTAGCACCTCAAGAAGACAAAGTCAAATATTATAATGAAATTTACAAATATCTGGAGTTAGAAAATCAAAAGGGGAAAACGTGCTCAGCATTTCTCAAGCTGAAGGAACTGAAGGAAAAATTCCAGCTTCAACTTGCGTTATTGAAGGATTCTCTGGACAAAATACTGAATGATGCAGAAAGCATCAAAAGAAGATGGAAGGGATACAGAGTCACTATACCAAAAGAAATGGTTAATGTTCAACCATTTCAAGAGATAGCATACGATCAAGAGCCAATGATACTGAAGGAAGAAGTCCAAGTACATTGAAGGCATTGGAAAAGAGCAAGTGTCTTGGAATTAATGGAATATAAATTGAAATCTTTCAACAAACTGATGCAGCACTGGAGGCACTCATTCATCTATGCCAAGAAATTTGGAAGACACAACTACCTGTCCACCTGACTGGAATGTGCCCATTCCAAAGAGAGGTGACCCAACCGAATGTGGAAATCATAAGGCAATATCATTAATATCTCACACAAGTAAAATTTGCTAAAGATAATACAAAAATGGCTGCAACCATACAGAGAACTTCCTGAGGTTCCAGCTGCACTCAGAAGAGGAAGTGGACTAAGGTATACCATTGCTGACTTCAGATGGATCTTGGCTGAATGCAGAGAATACCAGAAAAATGTTTGCCTGTGCTGTATTGACTATGTAAAGGCTTTCGATCATGACAAGCTATGTACATTACTTCAGAGAATGAATATTCCAGAACAATTAATTGTGCTCATGAGGAACCTGTACAAAAGCCAAGAGGCAAACAAAACAGGAGTGTGCTGAATGGTTTAAAATTAGGAAAGCTGTGTGCCAGAGCTGGATTCTTTCACCATCTTATTCAATCTGTATGCTGAGCAAATACTCCAAGAACCTGGATTATATGAAGAAAACATGGCATCAGGATTGGAGAAAGACTCATAAACAACCTGCCATATGCAGATGATTCACTTGCTTGCTGAAAGCTAAGAGGACATAACATACTTACTGAAGATCAAAGACCACAGCCCTCGGCATGGGTTGCACCTTAATGTAAACAAAAATCCTCACCACTGGACCAAGAAATCTACATCCATATAAATGGAGAAAAGATTGAAGTTGTCAAAGACTTCAATCATCAATACTCATAGAAGCAGCAATCAAGAAATCAAATGACATATTGCATTAGGCAAATCTGCTGCACAAGACCTCTTTGAAGTATTAAAGAGCAAAGATGCCAATTTGAGGACCAATGTGCACTTAATTCAAGCCATGGCATTTTCAATAACCCCATATGCATGTGAAAGTGGGACAGTGAGTAAGGAAGACTGTAGAGGAATTGATGCATTTGAGCTGTGGTGTTGGAGGAGAATATTGAAAGTACCATGGACTGCCAAAAGAACAAAGCAATCTGTGTTGGAAGAAGTACAACTAGAATGCTCTTTGAAGCCAGGATGGCCAGAGTTTGTCTCTCATAATTTGGAAATATCATCAAGAGGGACCAGTCCCTGGAGAAAGATATTGTGTTTGGTAATATGTAGGGATGGAGAAGAGGAAGACCCCTAGTGAGATGGATTGACATGATTACGCCAGCAATGGGCTCAGGTATAACAATAGTAGTGAGATTTGTGCAGAACAAGGTGGTGCTTTGTTCTATTATGCATAGGGTTGCTTTGAGTCCATATCAACTTCGTGGTACTTAACAACAACAACAACAAGCCAATGTAGTCCGGTTTTCCATAACTGACAGTTCATTTCATACTTAACTTACACACCCTCCAAATCTTTTTCTTTAAGTATTCTTTATCACAATAAAATGCTTACAATCACCTCTATTGCTTCAACCAGAAATAAGATTGGTTTTACCAGATCTTCTTTCCCACCATCACCAATCTTACTCCTCTCCAACCAAATATTCATATTTAGTTTATCAGTGATTCTATGGGCATTTTCTCAAAAGTATAGGAAATCATTGTCAATGCCTTGTCTGCACTGCCACCACTTCAGTCTAAATTCAAATTTTCTTATCTAGGCTGTTAACTTCCATCCTTTAAAGTCATTTCTTAACACAGAATCTTTTTAAAATATGTAAATGTCACTTTTCTGCTTAAATCCTTAGCTATATTCTAGTTAAGAAAATTTGAATTTAGACTGAGGTGGTGGCACATAACCACCGCCACCCTCATATTGGAGTCCTGGTGTGTCTCTGTAGGTCATGTGCTGGACTGCAAAGGAGGTTTGAACCACAAGGTCACCTTGCAAACCCTATGCAGGGTCACTATAGGTCAAAACTGACTCAACAGCACTTAACAATAACAACACACCATACAGTATATGTTCAGGGTTCAAGTCACTCATTTTCCATTGGGCTTCCCTCCAAATCCTGGACATATGAACAGAACATAATAGACTGATAGGAGGATGAGTCATTAATGAATTTATTATTAGAATGTACAGTAAATAATAAATTTAGTAACAAAATTATTATTAAAATGTACAGTTCAATATATGTAAATTCAGTAAGTATTGAGTGTCTCATATGATGGTCTAGACAATGGGTATAAAAATATGAACAAATGTAGGGCAGTTTGCTATTATTTAGCTGGGAATCTAAGGCATTCTCATATGACATTTAATGAGAAAATATCATAACATATAGTAATATTCATAAATGCCTAAGAAATTCAACAAGCAGGCAAGGATGGAAAGTTAGAAAAGAGTAAAGGTAAACGTAGGTTCTATGTTTACAAAATTTGTTGAAGTTATGGCCTGAAGTAGGCATACAAGTAAAACTGCATAGCTGACATGCATTTAGCTGGTTTTTAGATGATTCTGATGAAAGCAGAAAAGTGAGAGATTACTAGGAAAAAGCCACTGGAAAAGTAAAATATACCCAGTGTGGAAAATCATGGATTCCGAAGTTAGAATTATGGCTTTTATGTCTTTTACAAAGTGGATACATTAAAAAACATTATGCAAATGAGCATTGTAGTCACTGGGAATATTTTCTGAAGATTAAAATCTGGCAGTATTATGAAGAATTGATTGAGTGGGTAGAAACCAGAGTCAGAAAGACCAGCTTAGAGGCTGTGACATTTATCCAAAGCCAGAAAAAGATGATAGGGATAGAAATGGAAGAAAAAATAAATTTAAGTAATAATTAGAAGGAAGAATTCATACAATATAATTCAATCCAGAGGCAAAGAGGATAGAGAAGATATTTAGAATTCATCTAGGTGATGCACATATAAAAGATTCAAAAGGGTAGAGAGAGAGGAGACACCACTGAATTTCTTCAGCACTTGATTTAATAATGACAATAGTACAATACAAGCCATAGTGATGTTTATCTTGTAATAACTAAATTTAGTATTTTGAAAAGTTAATATTAATCTGGAAGAATATATATATCTTCATCTTGAGTTGCTCCAGAAGTACTAGGATTCTGCACGTTGTAATAGTTAGATTCTGCCTCATTTCCATAGACATGCTCCTCAAAATTAGACTGCTGTGTATTTTCATATATTTCCTTATCAGTTTCTTCTTTATCTTTAGGAGGACTCGCATTCACATTTTCATAGTTGGCATGCAGGCTAGTTGTCCCCTCAGCAGAATTGTAATCTTGGGTTTGAACTGAAATTTTATGCTCTGGGCTAATAATTTGATGACTCAAAGAGGGTGTTTCATCATACTCATTTTTCTTGCTCCTTCTTCTTCGTAAAAACTTTGGCAAGGTAAATCGGGTTGTGTTAGGGTGTTTCCAGTGCCAAACACACCCTATCCCACAGAACATCAAGAGTAAGAAGAGGAAAATTCCTATAGAACAGGCCACTGAAGTATCGCCAGGGCTATTCAGCATTTCTTCACAAACAGTAGTGGTTTGGTGTTAATGACAGTACAGATTCAGTTCAGTGTAGTTCTTTTTAATGGTGTATGGTTCAAAAGTGATTCTGGAAACTCTTCTAGGTAAGTCCTTTTCACACCTGATGGATATTGTCTAGTAATGTCCTGATGCAGTTAGAGGAGAGATTAAGGGAATTTATTTTGGGAAAACGGTTTTCTTTGCAGCCGATGCTTCCATTATATGTCCTTTTTCTATCAATGAATCACAAAATGAAACAAAAATGAATCGAAGACAATAGCAAAGTTGAAAATTCAAGAAAAAGGTTGAATGATATGCCATCCAGAAACCTGATATAAATTAGAAAATACATTAATTGTATATTTATTACATAGCATAATTTTCTTAATTTACCAATATGTCTTGGTGTGGCACTGTAAGATAAGCACTGGACCACAGGATCTGTTTGAACCACAGGGTCAGTGGTTCAAACTCACCAGCCATTCCTCGGAAACCCTATACTGGGTCACTGTGAGCCAGAAGTGACTCGAAAGCACTTAACAACAACTTAACAACCAATACATTAAGCACCAGAGTTTAGCAAGTTTCTGTTTCAATATGGATTAAAGTACTAACTGTTGTGAGGAGATAACAACAATCAGAAGAATGTGTTCCTGCCCAAGTCTGAATGGTCATATTACTTTCATTTCAATGTTTGGTGGAATAAGGCAAACAATTTTCAAGTGAAAGACAATGCTCAGAACCCAATAGGAGAAAAGGGAAAAGAACGAAAATGCACAATCATCTCTATTACCTAATGTCTCCTCGGAGTCCTGGTGTGGTGCTATAGTATAAGCACTGGGCCACAGGGTCAGGTTTTACCACATCATCAGCTAGACTCTGCAGCATTTAACATAGCTCCTCAAGTCTTTTAAAAGTATTAAAGAGCAAAGATGCCACATTGAAGACTAAGGTGTGCCAGACCCAACCATGAACTTTTTGATTGCCTTATATACAAGCAGGATAATGAATCATTATTATAGGAAGATCAGAGAAGAACTGATGCATTTGAATTGTAGTATTGAAAATACATGGATTTCCAGAAAAACAAATCTATCTTGAAACAAACACAGTCAGAAGGCTCCTTAGAAGCCAGGATGGTCAGACTTAGTCTCATGAACTTTGGACATGCTACCAGGTGAGACCAAATCAAAGCCAAACCGAATCCACTGCCATTGAGTCTATTCGAACTCATAGCAGCCCTGTAGGACAGTCATTCTTAAGTGCTGTGGAGTCAGTTTCAACTCATAGTGACCCTGTATAGGGTTTCCAAGGAATGGCTGGTGCTTATCCTACAGTGCCACACCAGGACTCCATAAGACAGTAGAAGAGCCTCATTAGGTTTCCAAAACTTTAAATCTTTACAGAAGCATATTATCACATCTTTATCCCATGGAGTGGCAGAGGAGTTCAAACAACCAACCTTTTGGTTAGTAGCTGAGCACTTTAACCTCTGTACCTTTGCTATGATAATAGTGCTAGTGAGAAAAATTAAAGAAGTTATGTAATTTCTCTAAGAAGTGACTGAACCAGGATTCAAAGGCCATTTCCCTCAAAACATTGTTCACACTCAAATATCTATAAATGACTAATCAAGTGCATTCATCACTAAATTTAAACTGTTTGACTATCTCTGAGGTTCTTGAGGATTGGAAACCACATCTTATTTAGTGTTGTTTCACCAGGACTGGCACTAGGCACAGATTATCTTATCATTAAGTGTCTGTTGAATGAGTAAAATTATCTGCATACAGGATAACAATAGTAAAGATATACAGGGAGGCAGAAAAGGACCCACCAAGTTATGATCTGTCCTCAGTGAATACTCCTGAGTGATAGTGCATCTAGGTGTGTTCAGCATTCTTGTTATTGTTGATAAGTACCATGGAGTTGGTTCTGACTCATAGTGACCCTGCACAGGGTTTCTGAGGCTGGAAATCTTTACGGGAGCAGAATCTTTCTCCTGCAGAACAGCTGGTAGCTTCAAAGTGTTCCGCATTATAATACATCCATGTGCACATTTTCAGTGTGACTCTTCATTGTTGTTGTTAGGTGCCATGTGGAGTTGATTCTGACTCATAGCCACCCTATGCATGACAGAGCACTGATCGCTCCTGTGCCATCATCACAATTGTTGTTGCACTAGAGCCCATTGCAGCCGCCACTCTGCCAATCTATCTTGTTGGGGGGAGGGGTCTTCCTCTTTTTTACTGACCCCCCAGCTTACCAAGCATGATATCCTTCCCCAGGGATTGGTCCCTCCTGACAACACATCCAAAGTATGAGAGATGAACTCTCACCATCGTGGCTTCTAAAGAGCACTCTACTACTGCCTATAGAGACCTGTTTGTTCTTCTGGCAGGCCATGGTATCTTCAATATTCTTCTCCAACACCACAACTCAAATGCATCAATTCTTCTATGGTTGTATTTATTATCCAACTTTCACATGCATATGAGTCTATTGAAAATACCACAGCTTGTGTCAGATGCACGTTAGTTTCCTCAAACAGATATCTTTGCTCTTAAAGTGGCACTTTACGTGAGACATCAAATTAAATATCATATGCAATTAATTTTTAAAATATATTTGATCAAAATATAAAAACAGACACTTCTAGACACTTTTTAATATTCTTGGACTTTTAGAGAGTGACAATCTGTAAGATTATTCCTTTATAAGGCCAGATACAACTCTTGTGTTTAAGGACAAATTTCTGGAAAAAATTTGAAGAAGGAAAGACCCTCATCTCCTTTCCTGAATCTGATGAGAATCGATCATATGTAAAATATTTTATGATATAAATGATTACTTTTAAAGTAATTATTTCCCATCATATTTGAAATATTTCAAATATTAATTTAAAATATTGAAATTAATCATTTGCTTAATAGGTTTGAGGCATCCAACACAAATGGACTGTGGGAAATGCTAGCTATTATTCCCTAGGCAGCTGAAAATAAGGTGGTGTCAATTTCCAAGAGAATTTCTTTTTATTATCTATGTTGTTCTCTATTGTATAGATGTATCTATTTATTCCAAATATTAAAATTGTTTTTCTGAGAGATGTACACTGAGATGACAAGAGATTTTTTCCAAAGGTCAAAAAAGACATCCTTTCCTTTTCATGAAAGCAACTTGACAGGAAAAACGAATACGTACTATAATAAAGAAACATTTAAAATAAAATCTTAGATATAGCTTAACTCATAAATGAATTTGCCCAGTTTTGAGGAAGACTGTATTTGTCTTTGTTTTGGAAAGCAGTTCAAACAGGTTTTCGGACAATTTTTTGTTGGCTATAAAATCACAAATTATTGGTAAGTGCCTGGAGTTTTCCAGAATATTCTTCTCCTTCTTAACGAGGTAGCAGTGAAGAATAATCTTATACTTTTGAGCAAATATACTTAAACAAAACATTAACATCATTATTGAGCAGTTTGCTAATTATTTTCTTTTTTTCTAAAAGTTGAGTTTAATAAGATATAAAGGCATTCACTAAAAGTGTGCTTGTTTCTTATAGTTTTCCATTATCCAAACCCTTCAAACCAGATTCTGACTTACCTCCAGGTTAGTGTGGCACATTCTTTCTTTTGTCCTTGGGAATATGTTTTAACACTGCATGGGTTCAGCACTTGTTCCTCTTTTTCACTTCGGTCAGTTAACTTCCTTCTTTACCTCCTCCTTGCTGATATTTCGTACTTGTTAGGTTTCCTGGCCATAGAGGAAGTTCTTATCAGATGCACTAGAATTAAGATAAACGGCATTGGTTTTTGAATAAGGAAGTCCAGGCTTTTGTCTTTACCAAGCAACAATTCTCCAACTTATTAGAAATTATGTGAAGTAAGCTTTTACATTTGGACATTATTTTCAGTCCTCAATTTAGAATCAGTAAGAGTTACTGCAGTTGAACTTCAAATTTAAAAACAGATTTTAAATGCCATAACAGATAGATGATTTTTGGTTTTGTTTTATAATGTGCTTCTCTGTATGAATTCTAGAATAGATCTCATTTAAATATTAAGCCCCAGTTCCCCCTGGATTACAACTATATTTGTCAAACCAGTGTCCCCATTTTCTTTTTGAAAAGAAACTCTTCCAAATTAACTAGATAAGAATTTTCCAAAATATATTCTGAAGCATGCTATTTCTAGAATATTCAAGCATATCTCCCATGGAGCTAGTCAATTTGTCAATTACTTACTGGTTTGTGAGATCAATTAAAGATCAACTAGAATTCTAGAGAAGTGAGTCATTTTAATTTG